TATGTCTGGTTTCGAACCAAACATTAACTCGTAAGGAGTCCTCCCAGCACCCTTGCAAAACACCCTGTTCTTCACGTAAACAGCCGTCTCTAGTGCATGCGTCCAAAACGAGGGCGGTAGACCAGACTGGTGCATCATGGACTTCACCATTCCCATCAAGGTTTGATGTGTTCGCTCGACAGGATTCAACTGTGACGCGTTTGGCCCCACTTTGATATGCACGATTCCTTTCTTCTTGTACCATTTTTCCATATCTCCATTGCAGAACTCTTGTCCCTTATCCGTAAGGACCTGTCGTACTGGATCAGCACACTCCTCAGAGTCTCCAGTTTCTATGACACGAGTCACCACTCGGTCAACACGACTGCCATGTTGGCGTTCTGCCCACGCGATGTACTCTTGCATCCGTGGGTTCACTTCGTTTTCATCACGGGATTTCAGAAGGTACGTCTTCACAAAACGTGAATAGCCGTCCATTATGACCAGTACTGCTTTGTAGTGTGTTCCATTTTGCAGTCCCGGGATTAGCAAGTCAGCGAACACAATGTCGTTTACCCTCTCGATCTCACGATCGATCTTGTTGCGGAAGGCCTTACGACGCTGCTTTCCGAAGTGGCAATCAGCACAATCAATCTTCCCACGCTTCTTGAGCATGATCCCCTTGGCCATGCTGCGGTCCACCATCAGGCGGATGTACTCTGGGCAGGTGTGGCCCAAGCGTTCATGCCAGACGTCGATATCTTCAACGCCATCCGTCACTGCAAAGTTCGCAATCACTTGCTTCTTTACGGTATTCTTCTTCGTACTCGACACAGCACCACCAATATTGTGTGCACTAAATGTCCAGTGTCTGTGCTCCGGTGTCGTCCGAATTATCTCGATACCATCCTTTGACATGCCAAAGATACTAGAATCTTGGTCCCATGTCATCTTGAACCCTTGGTCCAATGCCAGGCCGGGCGAAAACAAATTGCATCCAGCCTTCGGAACGTACAGTACGTCCTCCACGAATGTAAACACTAACTCTTCGTCAATCATTGAAGCGAGTAAAATTGTGCCAAAGCCCTCAGCTTGAGCGGCAGCTCCATCAGCAAAACCGGAAATCGTTGGGTTCCAACTGCTATCCTCCATGCTGTGTAGCGCTGTGAAATACTCCTTGCACGCAACAATATGTGCATTCGCACCCGTGTCGAAGTACCATTGGCTTTCGTCATAGTCCTTTGCTGTCCACTTCACAGCTTCACCAACAACCACATCACGCTTGAGGTTGCCTTCAGCATCCTCGGTGGTTGACGCTGCTAGTTTTGTGTTCAGCTTCACAGTCGGCTTTGTGCCAGAGCGCGCGTACTTCGCCTTGGCGTTCTTCTTTCCGATTTGTTTTTCCTCGAGATCGGGGCAGTTAGGTTTTATGTGACCTTTTTCACCGCAGTTATAGCACTCAATCTCAGTACCAGAGGTTTTCTTTGTTGAGTCGCTGGTAGTTTGCTTTTTGCTGCTTTTCTGAGATCCAGAGGTGCTGCCAGACTTCTTCTTGCTTTTGGTATTACCAAATGCACTGTTATCCCAATCCTTACTACGTGATTCAGCCGTAATAATCATCTCTCGAACCATCTCCGGTGTGTACTTGCTCATGTCGGAGCTGAAGAACACCTTTCGCCTAAGTTCGTTGTAGCATGTCTGCTGCGGCAGACTTCT